ACAACAAAATCCAATTTGGGGGAGGACCTAGACTGGTTCCCGGTCCATCCACAGCGTATTCTGAATTACGCAAAGTTATTGGGGGAAAAATACCTCAAAATCTGCTGTTTTTTTTCTCTAAATACGAAATAAGGGGGTGGGGGGGGGTTGTTCCAATAGCCCAGACCCCCCTCCCCGGTCAAAAAGTGGGGCGGGATATATAGGACATAAAACGAGCATTTGTGTACAACTTTTCCTCATACTGATACATTATCGGTTGATTTTTGATACATTATCGGTTGATACAGTACCCGTTTCGAGGTAATTCATTATCGGATACAGTTATTTTGTAGTTATGAAATAATGGGGGGGGGGGTGGTCCAATAGCCCAGACCCCCTCCCTGGTCAAAAAGTGGGGCGGGATATATAGGACATAAACCAAACATTTGTGAACACCTTTTCCTCATACTGATACATTATCGGTTGATTTTTGATACATTATCGGTGGATACAGTATCCGTTTCGAGGTGATACGCTATCGGATACAGTTATTTTGTAGTTACATTATCCGTCGACACGTGATACATTATTGGATACACATTTTACTACACTATCAGTCAATTTTTGCTACATTATTGGTTAGTGATACAATATCGGTCAATTTGTGATACATTATCGGTTGGTGATACGTTATCCGTTTGTTACTACATTATCAGTTGTAACAAGCTTCACAATATCTTGTGAACGAAGTGGCCTATGGCCTATGTATAAAAGCACTGGCTGCAGCTGTTTAAGACCGCGGTTAGCCAATGTGCGCAAATGCTATCCGAAAACTTCCCATAGAAATGCACTTGTTCCATACCGGCGGAATGTGATTTTTGTTTCCTTGCGGACCATGGGGACAAAATTCTGAGCGTCGCATTTTGCCGTCCAACCATTTGTGATTCGAAACGGAGCCTGTGACGGGAATTGTAAATTTACACCACAGATTAGTTTTACAGAACTTCCTACATTATTACGCTTTTCAATGAAAAAAAATCTCTAAACTGTAACAAAAGAGTAATGAATCAGTCTTACGGCCTTTTAAAACCTTGCAGAGTCATGACCGTGATGACGCGCAGATCACAGGTCACACAAAATCCAACCAATCAGAGCGTGAATTCATCAGAGTATTACAGCGTCCTGTTTGCAGGGCGGGGGTACGAGCGAACTCCATACGGAGATCAGTGGTCCCGTGTTACAACTGATAATGTAGTAACCAACGGATAACGTATCACCAACCGATAATGTATCACAAATTGACCGATATTGTATCACTAACCGATAATGTACCAAAAATTGACTGATAGTGTTGTAAAATTTGTATCCGATAATGTATCACGTGTCGACGGATAATGTAACTACAAAATAACTGTATCCGATAATGTATCACCACGGAACGGATACTGTATCAACCAATAATGTATCAAAAATCAACCGATAATGTATCAGTATGGGGAAAAGGTGTACACAAAAATACCCCCTATCTAAGCTGCCTCCGTCCGTATTTTGAAAAGGCGGACATTATACCAGTATTTTTTTTTGGGGGGGGGGGGGGTGTGTCACAGCAGAGGGAGGGGGGGTGCATTTTTTTTTTAGGACTTTGTATGCAATTTGTTTTGGGACACAGCTGGGGGACCCCCCCCCCCGGATCCGCGCCTGTGTTGGCCTCAAGGAAGCGGCAGGCTCGTGACGTTTGGACTCCAAACTGTGTGGGTTGAACAAACTGAAGTCAGTGGGTAAATAACAAATGACGTCACATGCGAACGGTGCCCCCCCCTAAAAAAGCCAGGGCATTATTTTGTACGGTACAGTTATATTGTGTACATGATTGTAGGATTTTATCAGCGCTCCCCGTTGAAAATATGGCACGACCCCCCCCCCCCCTCATCGACCCCCTCCCCCTCACCCCCCCTCATCCCCCCCCCCCCACCTCATCCCCCCACTAAATGAGCAGTAATGATGTGATTGTGCCCTTTTCAAATCTGTAAGAAAAAAAATCGACTGGGGTCGACAAGAGACCCATGAAGCTTGATCGCATCTACACTTCGACGATTGCCGCCTAAATCCGGTAAACTTGTTACATTGTATCTTTTGTGACAGCTCAAGTTTCATGATCATTTCAGATGGTAGTTTTGCTATACACATGCCTCGCCACTCGTATGTGTTCCCGGTTCATGCACAGCGCGTATTTTGAATGTGCAAAGTTATTGGGGGAGGGAATAGTCTGGGAGACCATCGCCAGTTAAATTGAACGTATGCGCGCGCCGAAGTTGCCTGACACTCATGCGAAGACGCTGTTGCTAATATCCACATTCTGGCACATTCTGGAAGTGGTGTGCAAATTTGCGCGCGAACCAGTACAGTACGCACATGCTGTGTCCCGTCCATTGATCTCCGTATGGTCCCGTAGTGGTAAAACGCGCCCTCTTGTGTCGCAGCACGGAGCCCATATGGAGGCCAAGTGTCCGGAGAAAAGAACTTGTCCACATTTCGGTGCGGATGTGCGAGTGCGGTTACCCCCCCCCCCCCCTTGACATCAAAAGCTGAATACGCCACTAGCCTAGGCCCACGTGGAAGTAGAGCGTCTCCGAACCAGAGCAACTCCCTACCTCCCGAATTCAAAAAAATATATTTTTAATGATAAACTTTCTCGAGTGGGGACTTATCATAGTAAAGGCACTTATTAGACTTTAATTAATTTGCAATATTCCACCTTTTTCCAATACTGATACATTATCGGTTGATTTTTGATACATTATTGGTTGATACAGTAACCGTTCCGTGGTGATACATTATCGGATACAGTTATTTTGTAGTTACATTATCCGTCGACACGTGATACATTATCGGATACAAATTTTACTACACTATCAGTCAATTTTTGGTACATTATCGGTTAGTGATACAATATCGGTCAATTTGTGATACATTATCGGTTGGTGATACGTTATCGGTTGGTTTCTACATTATCAGTTGTAACATCCCGTACGTCCATGGTGCTCTCAAAAGTGGTAAAACGCGCCCTCTTGTGTTGAAGCACGGAGCCCATACGGAGGCCAAGTGTCCGGAGAAAAGAACTTGTCCACATTTTGGCGCGGATTTGCGAGTGCGGTGACCCCGCCACCCCCCCCCCCCCCCCACCCGACATCAAAAGCTGGATACGCCACTAACCTAGGCCAACGTGGAAGTAGAGCGTCTCCAAACCAGAGCAACTCCCTCCCAAATTCCAAAAAAAAAAAATATTAATGATAAACTATCCCGATTGGGGACTCATCATAGTAAAGGCACTTATTAGACTTTAATTAATTCACAATATTTCCACCTTTTCCAAATATACTGATACATTATCGGTTGATTTTTGATACATTATCGGTTAATACAGTATCCGTTCCGAGGTGATACATTATCGGATACAGTTATTTTGTAGTTACGTTATCCGTCGGCACGTGATACAAATTTATCGGATACAAATTTAACTACACTATTAGTTAATTTTTCCTACATTATCGGTTAGTGATACAATATCGGTCAATTTGTGATACATTATCGGTTGGTGATACGTTTTCCGTTGGTTACTACATTATCAGTCGTAACACACCTGCCCTTCCAACCAAACCATTTGACGAAGGGTGGAATAGGGCAGAATTGACTTGTTTGATGCCGTTGACTTGCAGAAACTTCTCGAATTCTGTACTGGTACAGTTGGTGTCATTATCAGTAACAAGGATTTCTGGCAGTTCGTGAGTCGCAAACGTTTGACGAAGCCGTTCTACTGTGGCTTGCGATGTTGCAGTGTGCATATAGCGTGGATGTCCAGCCACTTGCTGTGTGTGTGGAAGTGTAGTTAGTGCGTGCGTCGACTATGACAAGAAACATCCGGCCCATGAATGGACCAGCATAGTCAAAGTGAAAGCGCGACCATGGACGACTTGGCCAATTCCACGGAAGGAGTGGGACATTTTGTGGCGATTTCCGCAAGGATTGACAGGCTGTACATTGCTTGACCTTATCTTCAAGTTCTTTATCAATACTACGCCACCAGGCGTACAGCGAGTGATTTCATTCGCGAGATTCCAGGGTGTGAATCGTGTAGTTCTTCGATGATCTGTGTCCGGCCTTGTGTGGGGGAATGACGATTCGTGATCCCCACAAGATGTAGCCATCTTGCACGCTTAACTCCTCTGAACGGCAAGTGTATGGCTTCAGACCTTGATCTTGTCAGTCAAGTGGCCAACCGTTCATACCGTAGGTACGCAAGAGTGACAAGGTTGGAACTCTTACTCTCCCGGTCCAGAGCCGAATTTTGTCTGGACTGACAGGGGTGGAGTCAAGGCGATCCATGATCATGACGTAGTCTGCTGAAACCGGGTTACGGCTGATGGTGTCAATCTACTCAAGGCCGCATTGACATTCAAGTGACCTGGTTTGTACACCAAGTGATAGTCATATGCTACGAGTGTGAGAGCCCAGCGTTGAATTCTGGATGATGCCATAGGGGATACTGGTCACTCCTCACTGAACAGTACTAGCAGCGGTTTGTGATCGGTAGCTATCTCGAAGTGGCGACCGTACACGTACTGGTGATTTTTTTTTCACCCCGAAGATCACTGCTAGCCCCTCCATATCCAGCTGTGAGTAGTATCTCTCTGGTGAAGATAGCGAACGCGAGGCGTAAGCAAATGGGTGCTCAGATATATCAGGCATGCGGTGGGCAAGCACGGCGCCCACACCGTACGGGCTGGCATCACAGGACAATGCTATTAAACTGTTTACCTGGGTCATAGTGCACCAGCACTCTGGCTGACAACAACAAATCATTTGAAGCTTGGAAGGATTCGTTATATACTGGCCTCCCTGACCAGCGGACGTTTTTCTTGAGCAGCAAGTGTAGTGGCCCAAGAACTGATGACTGATTTGGCATAAATCGGCCATATTAGTTCAGGAGTCCCAGGAAGGACTTCATGATCAGCTCTGTCACGTTACGTGGTACTGGTGCATCGGCCTGCTGCATTGATACGGTGCCCCAAATACACAACATCTGGGGCGAAGGACACGCATTTCTCTCGCTTCAGACTGAGTCCTGCACTCTGAAGTCGACTCAGGACCTTGTTGAGATTAGCGACATGTTCTGCCTCAGTCTTTCCCGTGACTAGTACGTCATCAAGAAATGCGACTGCCTGGGGGATGTCTGCCAAAAGACTTTCAATAGTCCTTTGGAAGATTACAGGTGCAGCAGATACACCAAAGGGCATGCGTGTGTACTGGTAAAGCCCCTGGTGTGTATTGATAGTAAGGGGTTCACGTGACGACTCCTGACGTTCAAGCTGGAGGTAGGCATGACTGAGATCCGGCTTGCTGAAGGCCTTCCAACCTGACATGTCTGCAAACAGTTCCTCGATGCGAGGTAGCGAGTAACGTTAGCTGACTGGTTTACTGCGGCTTTGTAGTCACCACAGATCCGCAGTTTACCCGACTCTTTTATCACGGGTATGGGGGATGCCCAACTAGAGAAAGTGACAGGTGCGATGACTCCATCTCTTTTGAGTTGATCGAGTTCACTTTCCACTTGTTGTTTCATGGCGAAAGGTAACGGTGTGGCTTTGCAAAATTTCGGTTTGGCGTCGTCTTTTACGCTGAGGTGCACATGTTGGCCTTTGAGTTTTTCCCAGTTCACCTGAAAACAACTCACTGCATTGTCCTGTGATGTCGATCGGAACACGTGACGGATTGTGTGCCATGCTAACTGGAGATGGCGTAGCCAGTCCAGCCAAGAAGATTCAGTCCCTTGTCTGACACGATGAGAAGCGGCAATATTGTGCTCAACTGTAACTGTGCAACCACCGACGACTGGTATTTTCTGTCCTGTGTAAGTACGCATGGGGGGGGGGCATGGCCCCCTTTGCCCCCCCCCCCCCCTCCCCTGGATCCGCCCTTGCTCCTACACCCCTTGGCCAAATGACCTAGCTTTTCACAGTTAGAGCAGTTATATGAGCGAGCTCAGTAGTTCTGTGATGTGTGGTCTGTTCGTCCACAGCGATATCACTTGCGTAGCCCACTTGACTTGCTTTGTGCTTGACTGTGGGTTCTTCTTCTTCTTCGTCTTCTTCTTTTTCTTCCAGTTGAGTGCTAACTTCACAATTGAAGACTGGAGTGTGATTGGAGTGTGATGCGAGAGACGGCTTAATTTTTAGTTAAAGCTCATTTAAATGTATCGGCAGTTGGTGCCTGGATGACAGATTGTGTGGCAAGACATTCCAATCCCCCGCAGTGCGAGGAAGAATGACATCCCGTGGTAGTCTCGAGCTGAGTGAGGAATGCAGTAAACCTGAGAATTTTCCATTCGTGTGGGGTTGCTATGGTTCTTGGAGGACAAATATTTTGAGATGTCAATTGCAGCTTGTTGATTATTTATCTTGTATAGCATAGTCAGCCTTGCAAACCTGCGTCTCTCAGCTAGAGTCTGCCATGAAAGCTCTTGCATCATGGTTCCAACACTTGAGGTATACCTGTATCTGTCGAGAGTAAACCTGGCAGCCCAACGCTGAACCTTTTCCAACTTAGTGATGAAAACATCTGTATATGGATGTACTACCTTACTGTACTACCATATTCCAAGATTGGCCTGACAAGTGATTTGTATGCTTGTTCTTTGACCCTAAAATCCTAATCTTTAAATTATGACGGAAAAATTTGAGAATGTTGCTGGCCTTGGCAGTCATGTTATCCACAATTATGTTTATTCCATCTGAAGTCGCTGGTGATGGTGACACCAAGCTACTTTGTCTGGTCAACATGATTGAGCTGTTGGCCATGGAGGATGTACGGACGGATACTGGACGACATTTTCTTTTACGTTTGATACGGATGACTTCACACTTTTCCGGATGGAACTCCACCATCCAGGTTTTCTCCAAGTCTCTGTGGCAATAATGATGTCAGGTTTGGTACTGTCTATCAAGTTGTAGAAGGGACCTTTCTTGTTGATAAGAGATTGGCAGTTGACATTCAATACTCTCACGGGACTAGGCCCTGAAGCTGACCGAGGTTTTGGTTTAACTGGAGAAGAAGCAGTCTGGGGATGGCCTAAGCCAAAGGACTTATCAAAGCTGAAGACACTGTCAAAGTCATTGAGAGCACTGATTCTATTTTAAGATTCCATAGGATGGAAGTCAAGATACTACTAAAATTTTGTGAGTCACAAACTAAACAGTTCCAAGCAACACTAGATCTGCCAAGTCTGTTGTAGGATGACTCACCAATACTTTGGCAGTCAATATGATACCAAGTTTCGCAATCTTAACACATAATTCCCTTGTCGTCCCAGGTTACAGCTTCTTTACAGGTACCACAAAAGTAAACAGTACATGCTGAAAGTTGAAAAGTTTGTGTGCCAAAAAGTGTTCCGGGTGTGGGTCCTGGATGTAACCTCAATGTCCCCACATAACAAGACGAAGCAAACAAAAATTCTTGGCTGTGTAATGCACTTGTTATGACTTACATGTTCATTTCCACTGATGTGTTGACAAAGCCCAGAAAGAAAAACCCTGTTCATTCTGTAAGGTGTAGTCTAAAAGTTTTGCTTGGATTCCCACTCCCATGAACTTGACGCATGAGCATAAGTACCTGTTGTTACACCATCCAAGAATCGCCCTGAAACTCTAAGCAGCACAAAAATAAGAAACATTCGTTGCAGTGTGAGATATCCTAGTTTCCTCGGAAGGTGGGATCGTCTTCCTTGAGTCATGATAGACACTGGTGAAGATTAAATGTCCTCTAGAATATAACCATGTAGGATGCAGTCACTGTTACACAATCAAAATGGCGACCACGTACGACGTTGACAAAGTGAGAAGTTGAATTTTCACAATGCACAGAGATCACAAACATCAGAGCGGCGAAAACAGTAAAAATATCACCAGATGAATCATCAACATGTTAAAAAACGGATGTCCGCTGATTAAATGCCAAGGGCAGGGGAAAAAAGATTAAAAAAGATAGAAAACAAATAAAAAACTAAAAACTAAAAATGAAAACACGTCCGCTCGCATCAACAGCGCCACCAAAGGTTTGTGGCCTCCCTCTTCCCTTCCCCTAGGGCTCTACACTGCCGACTTTGTGCGCTTGTTGTTGGGGGACGGGGGGCTGGATATCCTTGGCATTTTTCGCTGCCAGCTCCATAGCTCGAGCTATTTCCCTAGCTTTATCAAACTTGAAAGTAGATTCAGACAACAGTCTACGTTGAATCCGATCATCATTGATACCCCACATGATGTCTTTGGGGATTTGCCATGTTCCATTCGGCTTACATGGCCGAGCCATCTCGAGCGTCGCTGTGTGAGTAGGGCGAACATGCTTGAGGTGCCTGCTTGTTTTAAGACATCCTTGATTGTGACGTGGTCCTGCCATTTAATGCCCGGTATTCCCCTCAGGAAGCGCATGTGGAAGGCATCCAGACGGCTCTCCTGGCGTGTGTATGGTGCCCATGACTCGCTACCATACAGTAGAATACTGAGCACAAAGGCCTGGTACACCTTCATTTTTGTGTCGGTGGTCAGAAGGGTGTTTCGGCCGGTTGCCGAAACAGCCAATTATCAAAAGGGCTAGTTGGCGAGGGGGCGAGTAGACGAGTCGAATGGGTGCGAGTTGGCTGGGTGAGTTTGTAAGCGTCGTGTTGTTAACTTATAGTAATGAGCGAGTTGGCCAAGGGGTGAGTTGGCACCGAATAATTGCGTACAATATTCGCATGTACCCAATGACACTCAAACAAAATAATTAAGTCACCAACACCTCGGTCCCGACGACAAGTCGGTCCCAGGCAATCTATGAGACTTGATGGGGGAAAAATGCTCTAGCAAGGCACAATTAGGGGCGAAAAAACAAATTGCCCCACGTTAGAGGCCGTGTCACGTTAGGGACATATACAATTCAAAAGACCTTAAAATTATTTGACTTTGTTTACGTACATGAATTTCTTTTACATAAGAACCGAGTTGACCTGAGACCGAGTTGACATGTGACCGAGTTGACCTGGGACCGAGTTGACCTACGACTAAGACCGAGTTGACTCGGACCGAGTTGGTTTGGGACCGAGTTGACCTGCACCGTTGGATTGTGAGAAATTAGAGTCTGATACTAAAACATTGGTTATATTGCGCATGTCGTGATTGAGAAAAAACTCCGAGACATATTACTTGTGGAAACGAGAGATCAGGAAAAATAGACCAGGTTTCATAGCAATCCAAATTCATATGACAATATTGCTTCACCCAGATTAAACCATGCCTGCGACATCATGCTGGTTACTAAGAGGGTAAATCGGGGGCCATGGGGAGCTGGAAGATATTAATAATTCTCCCTAACGTTTTGATCGGAATATTTAAGATATATCGCCACCCCACCCCCACCCCCATTGTGCTTCAAATACTCGCTCATGATGTGTTCCCAAATGGTAGTCTTGGCCCAAGACGTCAGTGATCGAAACGATAGTTGCAATGTTCTGTAGCGCCTTGCATAATGGGTTTTTTTTTACTTTCTCTTTTACTATCGTCTTGGTCCTTTCGTAGCAACTAGGGCGTGGCCATGCATTTCATGTAAAATAGAACCGTCTGTATAAATTCGAACAAAACGGCAGTTCCTATTTGCCGCAGTAGTCGCAATATACTGAGTGTTTTTAATGAGCTGTCCAACCATATGAAATGGCCTTTTTAAGGATAAATAAAGTATTTTGAATTGAATTGAATTGAACCCCAGCATAATTAGCGACGTTGTTTACAGCCGTCGGGCGAGCCATTGAATTAATTCTCGATCTCTGATTGGCTCCCTAGGAAAGCGATGATGCTGGATCAACGCACATATATAGCCCGAATGTGTACAACCGTTGGGCTAGCCATTGAACAGTTTCTCGATCGCTGAAGTAAAAAAATAGTTAAACCGCTGATACGAAATGGCCTAGACGTTAGTGCGAGTAGGCGCGCTGGTCTGATTGTTGTGCCATTAGAGGGCGTACTGCGCACCGGATCCACTATGCGATCACTAGCGTCTTGGGCCAAGACTACCCAAATGGCAGTATACGCAAACACGATCATAATGCAAAAACAGAAATAATACAAACAATGCATCGTGGTGCAATAATGTTCAACGTACACCCAAACTCTATAATACCCTGCACCCGCAACTCTATACCTACTCCCAATCCCTGCTTCAAATAAACTATATTCATGAGTCGGCCGTATGTAATTGAAAGCGAATTAAAATGTTAATTTTTGGACTTTGCGAATAGAAATGAAAGCAAAGAAGTATACAGTCGAACACCTTTATAACAAGTTCCTCGGGACTTTACAAATTACCTTTTTTATAACAGGTACCTTATATTATCAGT